AGTAACAACAGCAACAATATTGGTGATAATGACTATTTACAGTTGTATGAAATCTGATATGTGAAGTCCGCCGTTTTGTTTTTTTTTTTTCGAATGGCAATGAGAACTTTACTGAAAGTCAGCCGTAGCGTGAAACATTGCCATTGGATAGCTAGGCAAAAACACAACAAGTTTGAAAGACTGCACTGCTAGAAATGTTCTCAATAATCAAGCCAAGATTCAAAAACAGTAGCCTCGAAAATTCGAAAAATCTGTCCAGGATATCGCCGTGCACTAGTACTCTGGTCAGTTGTAATTCTCATCAGGCTGGCGACTTTTCCACTTGCTTTGACCGACGCTCCATCGCCCGTTGGTCAGTCTGCTGGCGATCCTGACGTTCGTTTCGCTTTCTAGCGCGTCAGTCTTCTCATTCAACAACAGCAACCGCATTCATTTCACTCGAAATAAAAAATTTTTCAAAAATAAAAGAGCTGTTCGTGCCAAATGTCAGAGGATCGGTTCCATTCCATGGCTATTAATAATCATTCGAAATAAAAAAAAAAGTGTTGGACAATAAAAAAATACGTTTGTTGATTCAGCTTCCATCTTTCTGGTGCTTTTTCGCTCCCACTACCAGCAATACTACTACCAATAGTGCCTACAAAATAATAATAACCAGTAGCACAAACAAACGATGCTTGTTCTTTTCTGGTAATCACCAAAAGGGCCAAGCGTGTCTGGATAGACGGTATGAGAAACTCATGTTAGTGATGTTACTGGAATGCTTCCATAAGCCGCGTGCAAATCTGTATGCTTCTAGTTAGTATACGCCAACTGTTCGATGTACGTGAGCCGCTTCTCTGGGGCACATCCGAATGGTGGCAGTTCAAAAATGTCTTAAAAATTGTTCCCGATAAAATGAAAATTCAAAATTCTGAAATGAGAAGTGCAAAACTGAGATGAAGGGAAGTGCGTGAAAACTAGTTATAAGAAGTTAAAATGCATTGAAGAGCGAAAAATCAGTCGCCAAATTGACCGCTATTTGGCACTACAAAGTCAAAAGTGGACAAATTTAGCAAGAGGGAACTAGATGAGGACCATTTTGTTTGTTAAATTTAGATGTCAGCGAATCTCTTCCTCATCTTTTTGTTCAAATGATGATAACCACTGCATTTTAGCATTTTTGAATTTCATATTTTTTACAATGCGATGATCTTTGAATTTCATATTTTTTGCAGTACGATGATTACTGGTATGATTGCTACATGGGAAATTCACCGCGCTCTCGTACCGATCAAGCGCCATACAGCATGTGGAACTATCCGTACAGCTCATGGTTGAGACACAGGAATTTTTTGTATGTTTTTTTCAAAAGCAACCTTAAATCACCACTGATCGTTAAGCGGCCTTAATCACTTTCGCTGACGAAGCCCATTTTTTGAAAATAATTATTGACCAGAAGGGTCATGTATTTCCTGTTAATATCAATAATCTTTTCAGTGTGCACCACCTCTTCGGGGTTAGCCAGACCTTCATTTGATGGTTTCTCGTAGGTACCACTCACTG